TCAACTTTTTCATCAGTGTTCGTAGTCTTTAACAGGTACCATCACTGAACCATCTGCTCTTTGATTTTGGAAGAAGACTATAGATTTTAGAGTGAGTGTGAAGGTTAGAAAGATAGGGGTGATTTTTCTAAGAAAAGAAAGGGATGAAGGAAATGGGTAAGGCTGTTATTTTGTTTGTAGGAACCATACCCATCTTCTGCTATGGTTTCTAAGTACAGTAAAACCTTGACAAAATGGACTAATTCAGGGGAGGTTTTCTGAATGTGTATGTTAAAAAATTAATAAATTAGTTTACCTGTTTTTAATTATGTACATGTTTGTGTAATTAAAATGAAATATGTATGAAAAGCTTAATTTTACAGAAAAATTTTCTATATGTACTACAGTAATTTTAAATTTATGCTGAATATGTCTAGTAATTGTGTGCATTTGTTATTGGTGGAAGTGGTGTATCCCATTCCCCACCGAATGCTGGGGGTGTGGAGTCCTTACAGTATCTCGAGAAAAACAATTTTCTGAGACTTGCATGGGAGGATGTGTGATTTTTATTTGCATGAAATTATATCCCTGAGTTTCCAAAGTCCCATTTTCCTTAATCCAGTCCTGGAAGAGGTACAGCTGGGGATTCAGTAGAGCTAAAATCAAAGCTAGTGTCCAGAGTTTCTGTTCCATCTTGCAAGCTGGCCTAGTTCAGCAGTAGGCTAGCTACAGTCCGTTAGTCCATTGTGTGGGCAGAGGAGCCAAGAGAGCATCGCCCTGCAACAAGAGTCCTCAAAGAGCCGGAAGAGCAAACTCCTTTGTTCAGGGAATTAAGTTATCCCACATCTTCCAGGCTTGCAGTGGCCATGCCATTCCCATTTTGGCCAATGACCTCTTTTCCCAGGTGTGACTGACAGTAAGCACCTTCGATAATTCCCCTAACTTTACTGGGCATACCTCTATTTTCCCACCCAGTCCTTCTACCCGCAATCTTCAGGAGATATAGACTAGTGGCTCCCTAGGGAGTGTTCAACTGTAGCTTCCTAACAAAGCTACTCAAATGACATGCCTATAATATTTGGCCTTCCCTTTGCTCCTTTCCTGTTATTAATAACTAGGTTAATTATAGCGGTATCACATTTGCCAGTCACTGTGAGTGAACAAATGCACATGGCTGGGGCATGGCTTAGCGCATGTCTGAACATTGGCCAGCCTGCATTAAAACTGCCTGCCTGGTGTGCCTTGGTAGCTAAGCATTGACCCATGAACCAGGAGGTCACGGGGTTCTGGGCTTGATCCCTGGTAGGGGGCATGCAGGAGGCAGTTGATCAGTTGATTCTCATCAGTGATGCTTCTATCCCTCTCTCCTCCCTTCCTCTCTCTGAAATCAATAAAGACATATTAAACAAAACCACAAAAAACTGCTCTAGAAAGTTATACCACACAGCAATAGAGCTAATTATCTCCTGTGATGAGGTGTGATCACAGGCTAATCATTAGCCAAACATTGCTTATGAGCAGTGACTCTTGGATTTAATATGTAGAATATAGTTGTAGATACGTAATATTTATTTATGCCAGCAAAATTACTACAGTGTTTTTTCCAACATATGTCCTATTTGCTAAAATTTGTTAAAAATAACAGTGAATTAATAACAAAAAAACCCCTGTTAATTTAATTATAAGCAAATCTTGGTTAAAAGCATTTAAAAATTAACAGGGTGTTAATTTTCACATAGGACATACTGACCAGAAAGTTTGTCCATTAAATCCAAAGTCCGTTAAATCGAGGTCTGCAACATTGAGGGTTTTCTATATTTCTTGAGAATCTTCTAGAACAGGGTCAGCAAACCTTGTCTATAAAGGGCCAGATAGTCAATACAGACATACCTTGTTTTATTGCACCTCACTTTATTGTTCTTCACAGGTGTTGCATTTTTATTTTTATTTTTGCTAATCTTTCCATTGATATTTAGAAAGAGTGTAAGGGGGAGAGACAGAAACATCGATGTGAGAGAGACACATGATTGGTTGTCTTCAGCATGTGCCCTGACCAGGGATTGAGTCTGCAACCGAGGTCCATGCTCTTGACTAGAATCGAATCTGGAAACTTTCAGTCTGAGGGCTCTATCCACTGAGCCAAACCGGCTAGGGAGGTGTTGCATTTTTACAAATTGAAGGCAAGGTCCTCCACCAGCAAATAGGTTACTTTCCTGTGTTGAGTACTCACTTTATTTCAGTGTTCTGGAACTGAGCCCACAGTATCTTTGAGGCTTTGTGTGCCATACCCTGTCTGTCACAACTACATAGACAATATGTAAATGAATGATTGTAGCTGTGCTCCAGTAAAACTGTATTTACAAAAATAGGCACCAAATTGGATGGAGCCGTATTTCTGTTCTAGAGCATTAGCAGGATAACAATGTCCTTTGTTTTTTTGGTGACTTCTTTCTAAGACTGTGGTGTATAGCTTTACATCAGTGGTTCCCAAACTTATTTGGCCTACCGCCCCCTTTCCAGAAAAAATATTACTCAGCGCCCCCTGGAAATTAATTTTTTAAAAATTTTAATAGCAATTAAACAGAAAGATATATGTATTAATGTTTCTACCTTTTTCGTAAAATATAGTAAAGAAAGGTGTAAATTAGAAACATTGAAGTTTGAAATTATGAAACTATTTATTGAACTCAGAATAGAAAGGTAATACAAAAAAAGTTAAAACAAATGCACCTGTGGCCATCACCGCCCCCCTGGATCGCTGCAGCGCCCACCAGGGGGCGGTAGCGCCCACTTTGCGAATCACTGAATAGAGTGCTGGACATGTTTTATCCTTCCAGACTCTTCCTCTAGGACAGTGGTTCTCAATCTTCCTAATGCCGCGACCCTTTGATACAGTTCCTCAGCTTGTGGTGACCCCCAACCATAAAATTATTTTCGTTGCTACTTCATAACTGTAATTTTGCTACTGTTATGAATCGTAATGTAAATATTTGATATGCTATATGTGTTTTCTGATGGTCACGACCCACAGGTTGAGAACCGCTGCTCTAGGAGGTTAACAGACTTTAGGAAGAAGTATTTGTTTGAAGAGCCCACTTTGCCTATGCTGTTTTTCTAAGAGAGATTGAAGAGTATGTTGCCTGTCTAGCTCTTTCTTTAAGCATCCCATTCTCTGAAAACAAGTACCAAAGTGGACTGCACCTAATTTTAGTGTCCTGTTTAGAAGATTACCTTCTAAATGAGGTAATTTTCTCCTTCTAATGCAGTACACTGATTCTGCCTTCTCTCCAATGTTATCTGGAGTGATTTGTAGGGATTAAGGTAATGTTTTAATATTTCTGTTTTCAGCATTGGAGGCCAAGAGTAACCTGTCTGGACTACAGTAAAAATCTTGGGAAAGATGTGTAGACTGTAAAATGAAATACAAGCTGTCATCCTTTTATTGCCTGGAGTGTAATTTAAATAAATGAACCTTACGAATGCAAGCTCCCTCTTTTGTGAATTATGAATAATTTGTCAGCCTATTCTCATATCTGAACAGTAGTTTTTTGCTTTCAGCATCTGTAATAACATAATTCTCCTGAGCAGCCTAAATGAAATTCAGAAAATTGGGTTGATGCTAATGAAGCACATCAGTAATGCACATTTAGATAATGTAAAGTTAAAGGACAAAATGTTACTTATTGAGGCATCAGAGTGTGGCAGAGATACTTCCCTGGTTATTACTAAATAATGCCCCTCCTTTACTGTATTCCCAAATGAGTAGTTGTCAGATTGGATTTCTCATGCCACTGATTTATGGTTAAACTTTGAAAGGTTTGTGCTAACAAGATATATTTCTCCAACTAACTTAAATCTATTCTCTGAACTGTGTAAATAGAACTATTCTTATCATTTTTTGTGATTTATTTATAGTCATTTTGCATCTTATTTCTTTTTTTTAAAATATATTTTATTGATTTTTTACAGAGAGGAAGGGAGAGGGATAGAGAGTTAGAAACATCAATGAGAAAGAAACATCGATCAGCTGCCTCTTGCACACCCCCTACTGGGGATGTGCCCGCAACCAAGGTACATGCCCTTGACCGGAATTGAACCTGGGACCTTTCAGTCCGCAGGCCGACGCTCTATCCACTGAGCCAAACCGGTTAGGGCAAGCGTCTTATTTCTTAAACTGATATTCTTTGAAGGATGGGCTGAAAGTAAATTTTATTCCTAAAATTGACGTGGTGATAACTTATTGTATTAACATTTTAGAGATGAAGGATGTTCAAGGTAGAAGTATGTGTTGAGCGAATTTTTTTTTACCATTTGAAGTTATGAACTTACATTTTAATTTTTTTTAAAATATATTTTATTGATTTTTTACAGAGAGGAAGGGAGAGGGCTAGAGAGTTAGAAACATCGATGAGAGAGAAACATCGATCAGCTGCCTCTTGCACACCCCCTCCTGGGGATGTGCCCGCAACCAAGGTACATGCCCTTGACCAGAATCGAACCCACGACCCTTCAGTCCGCAGACCGACGCTCTATCCACTGAGCCAAATCGGTTAGGGCTACATTTTAATTTTTAATTTTTATTGATTTCAGAGAGGAAGAGAGAAGGGAGAGAGAGAGAGAGATAGAAACATCAGTGATGAGACAGAATCATTGATCGGCTGCCTCCTGCATGCCCCCTACGAGAGATTGAGCCCACAACCCAGGCAAGTGCCCTGACTGGGAATTGAACTGTGACCTCCTGGTTCATAGTCCAATTCTCAACCACTGAACCACGGTGGCCGGGCTACAACCTTATATTTTTGATAACAGCTTCCTCGAGGCATATTTCCTTTCAGAAGGAATAATGGTTTTCAGTTAGAACTCATGATTGAATTTAATCCTGTAGTACCAGGGGTAAGCTAGACAGCATAATGTAAACCTCTAGCCCCCCAAATAAATAAATATTGGTTTTGTTGTAAGACGAATCAGTTATGTAGTATGTTATTTTGTCTTATTTGACATAGTCTTCTTTTTCTTTTTAGATAAATGTAAATGAAATTACAAGATTTTCAGATTTCCCCTTGTCTAAAAAAACATTGAAAGGTAGGTAAATGATGATCTTGGGACATGTTGGATTTCTTGATGCTTTTTATAAATGACAACAGATTTAGAAAGTTTAACCTGAAAAATCTTATTTTGGCAAGTAATTTTGATACCATGACAACATATGACAAGAAACTATTCATTTAAGTTTTACCAATTTGTCATTCTCATCCTTTCTGGACTAAAGAACAGTAGTGATGAAAGAAGATGCTAGGGCCTCTGTATAATTAAAATGAAGCCTAATTATGTTAATATGAGCAGGAGAACAAACAAAAATGTGATACCTTTTGTCTTAGTTTGCTAGTGCCACTAGAACAAAAAACCACAGACTTGGGTGGCTTAAACAAAGAAATTTATTTTCTCTCAGTTCTGGAGGCTGGGAATCCAAAGATCAAGATGCTGGTAGGGTTGGTTTCTTCGGAGGGTCATGATGGGCTTACAGAAGGCCTCTCCTTGGCTTTATATGGCCGCTCTCTTGCTGCTTCTTCAAGGAGTTATCCCTCTGCACTCACATCCCTCATGTCTTTGTCCAAATTTCCCCTTTTTATAAGGACACCACTCAGATTGGATTAGGACCTACCCAAAAACAAGGGCTGTTTTTGACTCAGTCATCTCTTTAAAGGCCCTGTCTCTGAATACAGTCACATTCTAAAGTGCTGGGGTGGGTAAGGGTCTCAACATATAAGGGGCCCTCAACATATGCACAGGTCAGCCCATAATTCTACAGGAGTTTTTCTAGAGTGTTATTCTCTTCACAACTGCAGGTTTGCAAGAAGCCCAGTACCGTTTGGTAACTGAGATACAGAAGCAGACCATTGGGTTGGCTTTGCAAGGTAAAGATGTCCTCGGAGCTGCCAAAACTGGATCTGGCAAGACTTTGGCTTTCCTGGTTCCAGTAAGTAGCTTATTCATATTGGGTCAGATTCTTTATTATATGACTTTAGAACATTCTGTGCCTAGATAGGAACTATGTCAAGAGTTATTTCATGTTGAATTTCCCTGGTTAGAGTGCAAGCTTTATCAGACAGGTGTCTTCTTCTTCACCCTGGTCCTAACATAGCACCTTGTACATGTAAGCAGTCAGTAACTTACTGAGTGAATTATTGTGCCTCGACAAGCCATTCCAGGGTGGCAGGTCAGAATGGTTCTGCTCTGCTGTACGACTGTCAAGGGAGGCTTTTGCTGCGCTCCCCCTTGCAAATCTGCTAGTTGCATTTATACTTGCCATTTGTTTAGGAGGAAGCTGAAATATGCTCACTTTAAGAAGATTGGGTCACTCTTTGAGAAATGGTATCTGTCCTTTATAGCACTAAAACAATAGGAATTCACTTATATCTCAGTTATGTAGCTGGTTTTATAATTTAGTTCCTTCAAAATAATTGGCTCATAAAAAAATCACATTTAAGTTTTTGTTCCAAGTATTGCAAAACCATTTTTCTCTTAAATCCTAATTTTCACAATGATGTTACTCCACAACTAAAAAACTGTCACTGTGTAACTATAGTAGCTACACAAAATGAGTTTATTTTGATGTGGTTTCTGTTCAGAAAATGGTGACATATTTTTCTGAAATCTGTTTTAAGGGTTTGGGCTTTGCAGGACTTCTCTGATTGCCAGTGTGCTCATGGCATGGCTCTCGCAACCGCTGAACTGCCGTGGGCTTCTTTTTCCCTTCCCTCTATGACTTGGGGGAGGATGCTTCTGATGGATAGAAGAAAAAACACACAAAGTAAACAATTTCTTCTTTCTGATTGGAAAACACTTGTGACTGATGTGCTTTCTGCTTGGAAGGTGCCTCTGATTGGGAGGGCAAGGTTGACTCAGCAGTCAAAATCTGCTTTCTCAGGACTTACTGAACATGAATTTGCTGCCTTTTTTTCAGGTGCTGGAAGCCTTATATCGTCTACAGTGGACCTCAACAGATGGCCTGGGGGTCCTGATTATATCACCTACGAGAGAGCTAGCTTATCAGACCTTTGAGGTTCTCCGAAAAGTAGGAAAGAATCATGACTTTTCTGCTGGTCTCATCATTGGTGGGAAGGTTTGCCCTTTTGTCCTTATCCTTCTTTCTTTTTTTCTGTAACTTAATGTTGGAGCACTGTGGCAGCTGATGGGGAAGAGGTGGAGATTTCATCTTGACAGACAGGCTGGCTCTCTAGATAGGGGGTGGTAGCATCCTGGTGTGGTCATTGTCATTTAGAGTCTGGTTGTCCATTTTGTAGGCCTAGAAAGTCCATTTGTCAGGGTATCTGAATTGATCAGGTTCTGAGACCAATTTACTTTAACCAACCTGTAAATCTATTTGTTAGTGTACATTGAGAAAGGAACCATTTCAGTATGTAGACTATTTTCTTTTAATAAGGTGTCTAAGAGGTTGAATAATTCAGAAAATTGCTGAGTTAGCAGAAGAAAGGAAGATATAGTTTTGAGGAATGTTTATTTTAGGTAATGGTAAAACCTGCTGCTAAACTTCTGCGCTACTTTGTGGTATACCTGGAATGCTTGTCTTTGCTAGTCTTCGCTAGACTGTAAGGATAAATGCTTGAATTGTTGAGTTTATATGCAGCCATACACAAAAAAAGAAAAAATAGCATCACAGACACTTACTTATTCGTGTACCTGTTACCCATGAACTTTAATAATGAACATTTTGTGGTCCTCATTTCAAGAAGAACTTTCAGAATATAGAGAGATGAGCTCTTTTTTTTAGTCCATTGAAGTTCAGTGAGTGATGTCAGAGAGTCTGGGAATAATTCTGGCATTTAAGATGTTTTTGTTAATTCTAAGAGGAAATCAAGACTTGGAACATTGATATGATATTTCTCCTGGCCTCAAAATCCTGCATATGATTAAGAATGTAGAGGAACATAGCACTCTTTAGGTCTTCACTAAGGACTTTTCTGTAGCCCAGAAATTTGGATGTGTTTCAGAAATAGAAGGAGAAGTTACATTTATTTCTAGAGTATCTACATTGCTGTGATGAAATGCCATATGCAGATGGCTTTTATAGTTTTGCTACACAGGCTGCTCAGTGATGTGTTTGTGTAATAAAAAGAAACAACTGTTTTCAGGATCTGAAACATGAAGCTGAGAGGATCAATAACATAAATATACTGGTTTGCACACCAGGTCGGCTTCTTCAACACATGGATGAAACAATATGTTTTCATGCTACCAATCTCCAAATGTTAGGTGAGTAATGAATTTATAATGAAAAAAATCTCAGATTTACGAGAGAGCCCTCATAAATTTTAATGATAGGAATGTTTTATTCAATAAATATTTTGATTAAAGACAACTTGAGAAATAACTTGAAACAATTTTTTGGCATTTGGCTTTTAAAACCAGAGTACAACTAGATTTAAAAAATCAAATTTTTGGATTTCGCCATTTTTTTCACTAATATATTTTTTCTGTTCTGAGATCAGTCAGTATGCCACATTGTATTTAGCCTAATGTATATTTTATTTTACTTTACTTTTTTATAAATTTTTATTCAGATTATTACAGTTGGTCCTC